CCCCCCCCCCCCGTCACTACCAACAGTACATGCGCACAAGTACATGCATTCGCCGACCTTTTATGGTCAGCTTCAAGGACAGCCTGTCGATCTATGACGTGACAGCCTGGATAGGAGAGTGAAAAGACAGGACTTTAAGATTTACGAATTGTACACTCTTAAATAAACGAAAGAAAACTCGCTATCGGGAGCTGGAAAATGATGCCATCAAATCGTAGTGGACAACAGTACCTGTATTGACTCATCGGTTTTTAGGTGTAACGTTGGTGGCGCAATTGCATCTGTTCAGTTTGACGGGTTTGAAACGGTACATAGTCACGAGTTATTTTCTTGCTTCAGTTTATAAATATGTTAATCTCAGCGACTGGTTAAGACAGATTTCAAATATTAAATTTAGATTTATTAATTAATATCATTTTCTTATTCAAGAACTAGTATAATATAAAACTAATTGTATGTTTAAAATACAACAGTCACAACGGATTAAAATACAGCGGATTAATATAGAATTAAATAACATTAGGAATATTAAAATAAGACGGCACGTGAGAAATATGAGTTATATTCAGAGTAGATATAAAAATATGAATCATAACTGTCATAGTGATTTATTTATTCATGAGAAGCCAGTGACATCCAACTCATTTCGCCAACAAATTCAAATTCTACAAATATATATATATATATATATATATTTAATTTTGCTTATATTTGTTTTGTATTTTGTATTTGACACACAGCAACGCGATATAACTGGAATGGAATATGGTACAATGGATGATAAAAGGTTGAAACGACTTAATCAAATAGATGTCATTAAAAGTTTGATAGCAAGGTACTGTTGTTGTGAAATAAATATCCAAAAAATCCCGCTTCACCCAGGGTCCCATGTCAATGTACTTATCATCTTTCTTGGGTTTTCAGAGATTTAAAAGTCATCATTTTGTAAAACTAGATTGCGCAGTTGAAGTCGTAAAAATCTTGTTATCTCGAGTTGATGTTTACAGTTCTTAGTGACAATAATGTGCTTTCACAACCCTATCTAAATATATACTGATGTGCCAGAGCACACCATTGTCAACCATTTGAAACACATGCGCAGTGTTGGACAGTTTAAACAGCTATCATATACAAAGTAATGTATATATATATATATGTTTGTATTATGTACTTTTTTGCAGACGTGTGCCGGCAGATAAATTAAAACCTCATTTGGCAAAATTTCTTCAATTATTGGAACAGGAAGGCGATGCTTTATATGAAGAGGAAAATTTCATCGAAGCATGGAAGTACTACAATGAAGTCTTAATTTTTACAAGGCGAGAATGTTGGCGTTTGGCGCGTCGGACCCAGATTATCACGCGCGAGTGCTCATCTGCATGAAATGTATTAGATGTACTTTGGGGTTTCCGGTAAGCTGTATATGTGGTTTACGCGTATTTCTGATAGTTCAGCAATTTGCATACAATGAATTTGATACTTGGTCGTTATTTAAATCAATATTAGAAATGCAGTCTAATGTTCTTTCCTCTAGATATCGGAGCCATTCTTGCGAATTCCGGCACTGACGGACTCACTAACACAATGCGAAGAAGGTAAACAGGTTTTCAGATGTATGCGTCCTGACATCCCTTACTAGTTGTGATCTGCTTTATCGATGTAAATATTTGTTATTTGCGATCTATTTCGCGTTGAGAAATACAAATTTACTTAGCACCAAGTACAATTAATCACAATTACAAGTCATTCGTTAATTATATTACTTAGATGTGAATTGGGTCAGTTATTGTAAAACTGTTATAGAAGAGATTACGTATTTATTGCTTCACAATTTACTAAGTCACGGATATAGCATCATATTCACAAGCAGCCAACAAGAGTCACAGAGAGTCATGTTAGGGAAACCAAGTGATCTAATCGTCTCCATGACTTTCTTTATAATATAGAACAGCACTAATCATGCTACATGGGGGAACATATGCTCTATAGATTTATTTGATTCAGTTTACCGATTGGTTTATTAAATTTTCTAATTTATTCTGTTTAAGTACTGCGATTGGATCAGCGCAATGCAGACATGTTACTGCTATCAGCTCGGGTGTGTGTACAATTAGGAGTGACGTACGATGCATGCATCTACATGAAACGAAGTGAAAAGATACTAGGGGAACAGGTATTATACTGTTATTCGTATACTCGTGTATATATATATATTCATTATAAATGCTAAATAAATAAATACGCACACTTAAACATTTTTATATTGCATTTTTTTATGTTAGTTAGTGAAATTCAATCTGTTTTAGGATCCTGCCGTCCTAGAATTGAAGTCGAGTATCGAAATGGCGTATAGAGACATTCACGGAAATGAAATTGACTGGCATGGTTTATATGACTTTGGACGGCTGCATACTGGCGAAATTGGAAATGAAGACTGCGAAAAAGATGAACTACTAGAAATGCATATAAATATGGTATTTCATAATTACGTTTAGCAAAATATCGAGTATTCATGATGTATACGTAAATAGTACAAAATCATAAATGTATTTTTAAAATTTTTACTTTTTAATAATCAGGCGGCAAGCAGTATGGAAAAGAAAAAAAACAAAGAAGCGAAGTTCTTCTCCTGTAGATGACGATGGCCCAATAACGATTGGTATGTGTGTTTACTTTACTATATTATCAATACCTCGTAGTGGCAATTTGTCATAAGCCCCGCACATCAACACTAGTTACCTCGCCAGCGTGAACCAAATGTGTTTCTCGTGCGACTCACAACGTCTGGACGTAAGACAAATAATAGAAGCCGAAGGTCACAGTATGTGTTTTTTGTGTGTTCAGTGTTGAGGAAAAACAGTAATGACCTTCAAACTTGGCACACATGTCACCATTCGACTCACGACACGTGTCAGGTCAAATGACTTTCACAATATGTGTTTGTCCATGTAAACCACAATAGAGGAATGACTGGGATTCAATCTTGGAACTGTGACAAGTAAAAACGAAATATTTAGAAAATCTCAACTAAATTATGTCTGCAGAAATGTAACTTCACTTAATCGGGGGGGGGGGATATTTTAACAAAAATACGATTCTTATAATGTTTTTGTCACATTTCTTTCAGATATACCAAAGAATGGCCAAATATGCGATAACATGCCGAAAAAAATAGACCACAAGCCCTATTCCAACAGTACCCCAATAAGAGAAGAGACACATTTAAGAAAATCTCCAACCAAATCAGGTAAATCATTGCACAGTATTCATGCCAGAACAGATATGTTCTGTTTTTAACTCCGTTAGAATGATTATTTAATATTAGAAATGATATGAACTATGCACTCATCTGTCGTTCGTTGACGTAACGATGCAATTGTCAGAACACTATTGAGACAATGATTACTTTACAGGTAACAAGTCGCGTTCCAAGAGTAGAAGAAGAAACAATATTCGTGTTAATAATGCGGCATCTAATAGTGGTGAGAGTAGTAAAAGTGGTAATATTTCTGAAAGCGATTCTGTCATCAGCTCCAGTTCAGCTTCATCTTCCCGACCACAATTAAGAGTAGTTGGCGGTACTCGTAACCAGTCACCATTCATGACAAGAAAGCCATCCGAGCTAAAAGGTATCGAGACGATAAAACAAGCATTACCATATCCAATGAAATTTGTTTGTTTAACATGCTGGAGGAGAGATGGGCAGCAATGCGTACGAAGTCAGGTCAACCCTGATTGCTGTGAGAATCTAAACGAAACACATCTCTGGAACATGGATAACAAAGCATGTCTAGTGAAATGTACAAAGTCGGAGCGCCTAAAATGGATGCGCATACGGCCATTGGTGAATGGTGTTTCCAAAATATCAGGGATATGTAGATTTGCTGCAAATTGCCCAGAAGAAAAAACATGTTCTCATCCTCATAGCAATGAAGAAATTCGTGTATGGAAATTTCAACTCACTAATAATGGTATGTTGACTGTTCATTCATTCTTATTCCGGTTTAGTGAACTTATATAACCAATGGCATATATACGAATATACCAGTTTAACCAGTTTGTTAAATCTAATACGTTTATTTAATATAATATAATTATATACATCCGTTTACTAGTCTTCACATTAGGACAGCTTGAGGAGGTAATTATTTCATCAAGTGACAGAAAAATCGGAGATAATCTCGTCGATGGCAGTAGTTTACACTATTCAGATGGAAACGACGGTGAAACAAGTATTAGACATGAACGAATACCAAAACTTGAAGCCGTTATGCATAGTGTGCCCCGCATATTCTGTGTCACCTGTCCATCAAAGAGGTTCAGCTCCTATCGACATCTCGATGCCCATCGTAGATCGATAGAACATCGTCGACGTCAACATATTGATAGTGATAGATTCTGGTGTTATCGGCCACCACCCTGGGGTGTCGACAATATATCAGAGTTACAGTTATGTCCAAAGTAAGTGTGGACAAGAAATTCGTAAGCGTTTTGTTATTCACACAGTTTGCATTTTCTCCAAACCTATCGACATTTCACTATCTTAATTGGCCAATATGTCACATCCGACAATGCTCCCGAGATGACACCAACTACAATCACATATTCTAACTACTTTCTATATTTCTCAACCCTAGTATTGGTGACACAGATGTTAACACAGTGTTATGTCCTTATGCACATTCTGATGATGAACTGAAGGAGTGGAAAGACAGAGTACATTACAGACACATTAAGAAACTGAAACAAAAAAGAAACTCCAAATCAGTATACTTAGGAGGAATATTGACTGCCATACAACAAACTGTTGACCTACATAGTGTGGTGAGTAGACAATATATCTTGTTTGAATGTATCAAATACAAATGCATTCAAATGTTATACGTCATATACCAAAGTTAACCTGATGATTTATTTAATAAGCTATTTGCCATCACACATCGATGTTACTTACTGTGTGCTATATTACAAGTATGTTTAATTTCAACAGATAAAAGAAGATTTGTGTGGTGTAATTGTGAATACAACGACCTCGGATTTAGTTGAGTTGAGCGAGCGAGTCTGTGACACATTTATGCATACTTTATCTTTAAATATATCATCAAAAGAGGTAAGATATACACTAAAATCTGTACTACACCTATACTATATTTTGAATTCATATTGGTCCACTAATGTGCAATTACCTGCAAGCCTCGGGCAGTGGAGTTAGGTGGATGGGAAGAGCTTTAATTAATTAAATAATGTAGCATTACAATGCATTCTTTCATAACAATAATCTGATTTGTCGAAAAACAATTGAAGTAATTGTTCAATAATTGAAATTCTGAAATTGCTAGTGTGCGTGTGATTGTATGTATACGCACGCTGTCATGTAGCAAATTGGATGTATCTTGCACCAGATAGAAGAAGAGTATGACTCTCCATCATTATTACAAACCTACTCGCCTCTCAGCTGTTTATATTAATATTTTTTTGCAAATATGTTTTTCATTGTCAGAAACAACTAAACAAGGTTGGTTTACTCTTGGACCCATGTCGACAGTTTTTCACGTTTGTAGATAATGCTGGAAACCCAATTGATGACCAAGTCATTGACGGAGATGGTACCATGTGTGAAAATAGTGTTTACAGGATCAACGTTCAGTTCTCGTCAGTACATGAAGGTGTTTACCATCAGTGGGTAATTTGTGACTTTGGCGAGCATCCCCTCCTTGTAAAACGACTTGCAGTTCATGCAGGGAAAATCCACCTCACAGAAGACGATGTTGATGTAAAGTCTGTGTTAATAGACTTCTTCAATGACCCCATCTCTCATGGATGCCATACTTCAAATGGACAAGATGTGGTACCTGTTGCACAACATGAATGTCCATACTACAAATTCCAAATGATATCTTGGTGGGATTATCAGTTATTCAGAAATGGAAATTTTTCTGATTCGTCATATTCCCACTTCAATGAACAACGGCGACAATTGTGCCTGAAAGAGATGGTTCTGTTAAACCCCGTATTAAGGTTGGTAGTAGATTATTAAGGACAAATCTATATTTTCTGGCTTAAAGGTTGTGGCCATTGTTTAGCTTAATCATGTTCACTACAGAGATAATATTTCTTCTATGTAGTGTACATCATATTCTGTCATTTATATTTTAATGTATACATGTATGCATTAGTACATTGCTTTATTAACTAGGAATAATAACTATTGTTTTTATATTCCCGAACGTGAATTTCCAGAAAAAGTTCCACTCACTAGTGCAGATGCCAATTCTTCGTTTCAGTCAATTTGGAATGGACTAGACTCATTAACAGTGGATGATAGACACTTTAAAACAGTCATGGAAACAGCGACAATTCCATCTGATACTCAACAGGAAGGTTACATATATGGATATAATCTTGACAAGATTCAAACCAAAGTTTTACTCACAATTTGTTCCAAGTTAACAGAGCCTTGCTCGCCATTAATGGTACTCGGTCCCACAGGCAGTGGGAAAACTACTGTCATTGATATAGCTACAGCTATTCTTCTGGAACAACGCATAAGAAACAATAACAAGCATGCAATCCTGATATCTACCAGCACAATCAGGTAAGTTTGACTAGACTCAATCTGTTAGATAGTTATGCTGACTATAGGTTACTGTTACGTGTTATCACCATACAACCCACATACATGCATTTTCCATTTATGTTTCAGTTGTGCCAGTGTTCACCTTGCTAATATCATTAAGTATGTAAAGAAGTATAAATATCAAGATACCATACGTCTGATGCTGCCCAAAGGCACCCCACTTAATGTGATTGATGAACCTCTCCAAAGATATTCATTGACCTGGGAAGAAGCAAAAAAAGAGCATGTCACACGCTGGCGTATAATTATAACAACTGCCAATAACTGTCATTCTCTTCTGTCACATGGCATGGCTAACAGATTTACTCATGTATTCATTGATGAAGCTGATCAAATAGACTATCAATCCATCATCCCTTGTCAGGCGTTGGCAAGTTCAATTGGCAAAACAATTATTGTTGGAGACTTGGCACAGAAAATAGAAACTGTAAGTTCTTCAAAAAAGTGAAGCATATTTTATTCGTTGTTTCTGTGAATGAATGGATAAATATAATAATTGTTGACAATTAATAGTAAGTATTATTTTATATTTTGCTTTAGGTTTTGCCGTGTAATTTTGGAGGTAAATCAGCAATTGTGTCATTTCTTTACCATTACTCTATCACACCACTATGTCTTAAGCGTGTATATAGATATACCGAGAGCATCAGAAGGTTTTTGAACACACATATGTACCCTAATATCAAGATTGTTGGAAATGCGGAATCTTCAATTGATGATGTAACAGAACCCATTCATGCAATTATACCTCAAATACAAGGCAATGAACCACGTAACTGGGTAGGCTATACTTACCTTGAATACTTTATATGTCTCTGATATTAGAGATCTGTTGGGCACGTGTTCGCCTCAATCTGTCTTCTTAAATAGAGGTCTGCAAATGTTAATGTTGTTGATTCGCCAACTACATTTAAGGATGATTAATATTCATGGTGACATTCGTTTAAGTAAAAAAGGTGATTTGAGGTGTTCATATTGTAATTGTCGACGTTTTCTTCATAGATATCTGATATCACTGGCAGAGTAAGCCAACTTTATCATGACTGGCCTGAAGAGTGGGGACAATTCAAAGAGAAGAGTATTGGAATAATAGTTGAATGTCATGATCAGGTACATTGTCAATAGATTATGTGAAATCATCTCAATGAATCAATACTAACCATTAGAAAGTACTTGTTTCCTCTATTAATTTATAGAGAAAGTCATGTATGTAAATCAATTATTTAACAGATATACAGCCTGCACATGGAGTTTACAAGCAAGGGTATGCCAATTGTTGTCAATACTCTCAAGGAATTTCAAGGTAATGTTACCAAGTTTACATTCTATCAATTAACTTTATGCTTTTTCTTTACGAGGTGATGGTGTATATCTTATCACAAACATATGATGTGTTTGACCATCTGGCTAATGATGTTAATCAAATTGAATAAACCAATTTGCTTTTGTTTTGTTTTCAGGAAAAGAGTTTGTGGTTATTATACTTTCACTCTCTGCTCAACCTATCATTGGTACACATAATATGGACTTACTAGTCTATTCAATGTCCAGGGCGCAGAAAAAGTTCTACGTTGCATATCCTGACCCAATAGACAGTGATAACATTTTGAAACACTGTAATGACACACACTCATTACAGCATCTGGCATCTGTGGATAATTGTAAATCAGTTACACCAATATTGGGACCACTTGATGCTAAAATCACATCAATATACAATGCGCAAGACAATAGTTTTACCTGTAATGAAGATGGAAATACTAATTCAGAAGTTTTCATTCTTGAAACCTATTTCTTCCAAGGAGAGTCTCGATTAAATGAGCGATTATCTGATGATGATGATGATGATGACTACAACTACCTTTCAGAAGAGGGTTCCAATGACTATTCAGATTATAATTCTGAAGAAGACGAGTCTCTGTTTAATCCATATCTGGGAGACGAGCATTTACACAGCTATGAAGACGTTTTATTTAAGGAATTACCAAAATACGACCTTGAAAAGATGCTGGCATCACAGTCGGATAAGTATAAGAGATGTCGACTAGAAACATGGCTGCAAGAACAAGATAGAGTTACACTACTTGATGAAGAACCTGATTTCGAAATCCGCATTCCTAACAAGCTTAAGCGAGGACGAGCTTTGAATCAAGATACTGTTGTTATTGAGCTAATGGACGAAAACAGGAAAGAATTACATGAAATGGGCGATGACAAAGATGACACAAAGATAAAATATGGGAAGGTAGTTGGTATCTTGGAGCGTCATGAAGAACCAAGAATGAAGAAGATAGCATGTATGCTGGATGAGCATAGTGACAACCTTTTGGTTCCTATCAATGGAAATTTTCCCAAGATGAGTTGGCACAAAGGACAACAGTGGAAAGAAACAAACAAGCATGCCGTCTGCCTACCAATTTACAGAATTACAAGATTCCAAAACTTTGAGCTAGACCATATTGAAGAAGTAACAACCAGTGAAAGATCCCAGAAGATATTTATTGCACGATTCCTCAATTGGAATGTAAACAAGAGATACCCATTGTGTGTTGCTGTAGATGTTCTTCCAATGGGAAACACTCTTGAAAATGGACTAAACATTCTCAAAGCAAAATATGATGTTAAAGATAATAAGACCACTCTTGAACCAAATGCTGAGAGCCATTCTGTTAGAAGAGATTTATGTGCTATACCTACTTTCACTATTGACCCAAGTGATGCACGAGATCTAGATGATGCTCTGAGTCTAGAGAAATTAGAAAATGGTAATTTCAGGATTGGTGTTCACATTGCTGATGTTGCCTCACATGTTCCAGTTGACTCCAGCGCTGATATGGCTGCTCGGAAAAGAGGAACTTCATACTATCCACCAGAAGAACGGCCAATTCATATGCTCCCTCGATCACTGAGTGAAATTACTTGCAGTCTTCAACCAAATACTGAGAAGAATGCCTTATCACACTTGTTTGAAGTGAATACAGCTGGCCATGTATTATCACAAGACATCATCCAGACAAAAATCAAGCCAGTTCATCAATTATCTTATGAAGAAGCTGAGAGAATAATAACGTCTGGAAACATACAGGATGAGTTCCATGAAATTAGCTCACAACTTGTCTCTTTGAATGAATTAGCACAGAAGATGAGAAGACAAAGACTTGGCATGGCATACCTCCTTACAGAGTCTGGAAGTTATGGGGAAGAACCTCACACCACCCCTTTTGCCCAACAACTTGTTGAAGAAATGATGATAATGACGAACAAAGAGGTGGCTAAGATGCTAGTGGCAAAGTACCCGTCATGTACACCTTTAAGGCGCCAACTCAAACCTCAAAACAAACACTTTGAGCAGTGGTTGGATTCATTTGACAATGTCTTGGAATGTAGCATCAATATTTCATCAAAACCATCTATATCTGCAAATATGGTTAATGGTGAGTTTGTTATTATGGACAAGGTATGGGAAGCCATTAAAGACGCTCACAGTGATGGATCCATTAAAGCACTAAAACAGATAGCTTTTGAAGATCAGAATTTCCCACAACTTTTCCTGATGGCCGTACATTTCTATGGAATTCAAGAGAAGGCAGAATATGTATGTTCAGATCCTGATAAGACGAAACTACATTTCACACTCAACTGTCCCGTCTATGTAAGATGCACATCACCAATACGGCGATATATGGACCTTGTTATTCAAAGAATGGTAATAGCAGCCATACATGGTGATGAGTCACCGTACAATAAGGAAGAAATAGTGAAGATGTGCACCATGTGTAACCAAACTGAAGACAAACAGAAATGTTTTGAGAGTGACTGTAGAGCATTGAAGTTTGCATTGAAGGTACATAATACACCTTTAAAGGCAATGGCAGTTGTTGAAACGGCTAATGACAGTTCTATAGATCTGCAAATCCCACGAGTAAGAAGCATCCCGTCATCTGAGCGAAAAATCCCATTAAGCCTGATGAACGTATCAACACACCCAAAATATGACGAAGCTGCAGAATTGTTAAGCTTGTCTTGGTCAGAGCATATTTATGATTCTAAACTTAGTGAAAATAATGTTGCCGAACCAACCACACGAAATAACACAACAATTCAATTGCAACGAATGCGGCACACTTTCGCAACCTCCACTGAAACTTGGTACAACTTTATTATGAGCGTTTTGCATGGGAATCAACATAATAGTCGTAGGCTTATTACTCAGCTGGAACAAGAAAGAAGAAAATGTAACAGGGAAAATGCTGTTACCCATGACATATCCTCGGAAAGAATAGACAAGAAAGGAAATAGAATTGACCCATGCTGCTTTACAGGCAATTTTCGAATGAGTGATGTATTGGAGTTGCAGATCGGTGGCCACTATAGTCGTGGTATACTGAGTCCAAGTATAGAGTCTGTGAAGCTATCAGTGGATTTTGATATTTGTATTGAACACCGTAAAGATGCTGTTGGTTGTTTCAGTGTGAATGCAGAGAAGAAGATGCCACCTCTCAGAAACCGACATGGTTGGAAAATTAACAATTATCAGAATAGATGGTTTCCAATACTATCTATGTCTGCTGCTGAGTCTGCTGTACGTCATAATGAAAATATCTTCATCAAATCTTTGTTAGTCACGTGGTCTGTATCATCACAAGGGGAGTATATTGGCACTTTCTTTTTACCAAGTAACTTCTGTGAAAGTAGACATATCACCACTTTCCGCGAATCATATGGTGACCAAGGGCATGATTACATTTGTGTAAAATGTCAACAATCTTCGGTCAACAAAGAAGATACTAAGTTCACTAATGGAGACACACTTTTCTTTGACAAGAACTTCTGCTGGATTGCTCACTGTGTTGTATCAGGAGTTCAAGTAAAGAAAAAAGATGACAGTAACGATGAAATCATCATAGTTGATATGAAACTAAAATCCACATCAGTGAATATCTTAGAACAACGTCTTACAAGTGAGCAGTCGTCAGTGGAGCTAATATGTACTGTTGAGATTATTAAAAAATCAATACCAGATAGGTTAGTTCAACTTGTCATTAAATTAACATCCTGTTGCGTTTGATTATTTTTTTGCTTAGAAATCATCACCACAATGTTAAAACTATGAGCAGCTTACATTTATTTGAGTAAATTTGGAATGATCGAGTTATTCATTGATGAAAACATTTTAAACACTTGTCTTGAACACGTGTACGTAGTAGATGGATTCCCTTCTTTAAAATCAATTAACTATTTTGTTCGTAACAGGAGAGTTCAAGATACTGTTCGAATGCTTGGTGATTCAACTGACTTTGTACAACAGATTGCTCTTGGACATCCACCAAAGAGTCCAAGTGAGTACATAACTGCTGTTATATATACCATTAGGCTATCTTCTTGAGATCGTTTGGTCGTAATGCTGTGATGTTAAGAATACTATCAAATAAACATGCATTATTGCAAGAAATGCTTCATGAAAACATAGCGATCTGAAAAGCTCTGCATGTCAAAAGTATTGCAACTTTCGATTTTCTTATAAACTGTGCTTGTATGCATTGGGATGAAGTTTGATTTAGAGATGATTTTGTTCTCATCTAACACCATATCTCGCATACATTCTATTTATCCAACATGGCGTTGTGGGTGATTTTGTTATTGTTGTAGTAATATCACATCATTCTAACAATATACCTAAAATTTATATATCATCTTAGTTCCCAGACAACAAAGCCTACGACGGTTAGTCATGAAAGTGTCTACCAACAGAAGAGAAGGCCTTCCAAGTCTGAACCAGGACCAGATTCATGCTATCAAAATGTCATTGGAGAACAAATTCACAATTGTTCAGGGACCTCCGGGTACGTTTATTCATTCTTCTAACAATTTTGCATTTAATGTTGATTATATTATACTTCAATAATAAGTCGAACATTTATTATGAAGCAACTTGTAGTACTTTTCATTAATGTTCATTATATTTTTTTGTTTAAAGGAACTGGTAAATCATACACGGCAGCCAATCTCGCCAATGCTTTTGTATTGTCAAATCGAGATGAACCATCAATGAAAGGAGGACGCATTCTATACTGTGCTCCTTCTAATAAAGCCGTTGATGTCGCAGCAGGTATAATAATATTAATACAGAATTTGAAATGAATATATGAACGTTATTACAATTATAACTAAGGGATATATGACATAATGACAAAATGTCCAAATCATTCCATAATTTACACGCCTTATTTTGTTGTCAAATATACACTGACATTGCCAATTGCAATGCCATCACAATTACTATAACTACATTACTACAATAACTTCTTTAATTCAGATTATCTTAAACGGTTTGATATGAATACCATCCGTATGTACAGTAAGAGCATGGAGGGGAAAGACTACCCTGTTCCAGGATTGACCGATATTACACGATACAAAAGAGGAAATAATGCCGAAAGTAATCCGGCACTTGATGATATTGCTTTGCATAGAGTGATCAGAAAAGCATCATCTAAATGTGGTAAAGAAATAAGAGAATTCGACAGCCGATTCAGAAATGCAATTCCCCAATCAAAGCAAGACATTGAGAATTACAAGGCTCTCATTAAGAAGGCAGAGAAAGATGCACTAATAGGATGTGACGTCATACTTTGCACATGCTCAGAAGCAGCCAGTAAGAGATTGGATAAACTTGGTATTCTGCAGTGCATCATAGATGAAGCAGGTATGTGCACAGAGCCGGAAACTTTGGTTCCACTGGTGAGAGCAAAGCCCGAACAGGTCGTCCTTATTGGAGATCATCGTCAACTACAACCGATAGTTCCACACAACTTATCAAGTCAAATGGGACTAGGAGTGTCTTTGTTAGAGCGTTACTGCGATGAAAATCACTTCATAAGACTGAAAATGCAGTATAGAATGGTAAGTATATTGAGGACTTATCTCACTAAGCAATGAGCCCTGCCTTATTTTTGTATATAATGTATTCAGCTTAGAATATAAACTGTGTGAATTGTTTTATATGTTATATATTTCTAGCACGATGCCATATGTGAATTTCCAAACAGCCAGTTCTATGATGGGGAACTTGAAACAGCTGAAACAGTCTTGAAAAGATCACAGTTCAAAACTACAATGGACGGCGTGTGGCCAGGAGGGAAACACGTTCCAACCGTATTCTGTCATTGTGTGGGCAGAGAGGAATCACTGAAAGTAACTACCGACGAAGGAAGTGAGCAGTCAAAGAAAAACTTACAGGAAGTGAAAGATGTTGTAAGTTGTGTCAAGTTGTTGAAGCATTGACGTCACATGTGGACTGCTAATTAGGTTGTGTTTACTCAAAATTTAATTGCTCTTGTCTGAAAGTGACAAGTTGTTGTCATCGCCAGTTTGAGTAAATTCTCCACAATTTTAACTTATCTATAAATATCATATTGCTAGCAAATACGATGATGCCCAACTAAAATTGTCTTAGATTATAGGAGTACGTATTGTTAGTTTAACAAATGTCACAGATTCAGATTCATATATTTAATACAACTCTTTAACAGGTCCGCATAGCAAAGATAATGTCTAAAAGATACAGCCTTCGAACATCACGGATACAGATCCTATCACAGTATCGAGCTCAATGTCACGAAATTAAAGGAGAACTGAAAAGAGCCAACTGTCAAAGCATTGGCGTTAATTCCGTGATTGGTTTTCAAGGTGTGTGTTTTCAAGATTACTATATACACTGTAACGACTCGGTCATAATGGATAAAAAGAAAAATCTATGCAACATTAATGTATAGAAAGTCCATGTTAAATGTTGCACATCGTAAATGATACCTTTTCATTTTTTTTTGTATTTTTGCTCTTCCCAGGTAGCGAACAAGATTATATCATACTCTCTACAGTTCGTTCTTTACCGCAACGGGAAATTGAGGAGCGACCAACAAAGGGGTGGCTGAAAAAGAATTTAGGTTTTGTAACAGATGAACATCAAATCAACGTGGCTCTTACAAGGGCCAGGAAGGGACTTATAATTATAGGCAAGTAAAACATTTGTCAGTTAACATTTTATCCTCTTTATATGGCATTATTATGCTCTATCATATCAAAAGATGTCAAGGTAAGGTTGCATTGAATATACCTTGATAAGTTCGCTACGTGATACAATCAGTTACAAAAACAATGTAATTTTACCATACAAATATAGATCGACAGTTTGTATCTGCGTTTGTAGATGTACTCACACAATATTCCACAATTGTCTTTAATAATATTCCATGTTCTCATTGCACATACAGGTAATGCGAACTTGCTGCGAACGGACCACAACTGGCGTAAACTACTTGAAGAATACAGACGGAAGAATTGCTGCGTTGATGCACGAAATTTTCCGTCACCTGAAACCTGAACGTTATTAATTCTAATGAATTGTGATTTTAATTTTACATCATTGAACATCTCCGTTTAAAGTTTAACGTTCTACTTACGCCGTGACCTTCTTTGTATACATCCATATTTGTACAAAGAGAAGAATTTACATGTTTATATATATATATGTATATTTGTACTATTCAGGAATATAATTATTCGACTCATATTATCGTTATATTGTATTTAAAGCTATTAATTTTGTATTTTGTGTAAATATGTATATTTGTTATACAGTTTTGATGATAAGTATATTCTGATAAGACAAATTATTGTGATTGATCTAAATAAATATGAATTTAAATCTTATTTGCTTCTCTTAGTTGTTACTCATTGCTTCCCCAATATGCTAATTGTAATCGTTACATATGTCTCAGAAATGTTCGTCTTGGTGATCATTTTACTTTTTAATAACTTTTTGTTCATTGAACTGAAGCATGGAAGCAACAATAATTGAAGGCAAACTAGTGGCCGCAGCGTAGGGGGCAGAGAGGCGGTCGCCCCTCGAAAAATAAATTGGGGCGTCGTCCTTTCAAAATCAAGTTTAAATCATTTGTGTCAGCAAAATTTGCTGCTCAAAATGCAGGAAATGGCGTTTCAATGGGTCTAGAGTTCAACATTTTTTAAGGAGAAGCATGCCCCGGATCCCCTAGTAAGGTTGAGCCTTTCGGCGCAAGGTTGGTGAGCAGATCTCGCCCATAGCCCCCCCCCCCCGTACAAAATTCCGTGCCGCCGCCTCTGCAAATACGCATAGCAGCATTGATGTGATTGGTACAGAAGAGCATCCAATAGCGAATCACCTTTTCAGATGAACTGTGGAGTAGACATTTCTCTCAGCAAATAGAATATGCTCATTAATTATTAACCAAAACCTGTATGGCAAGGCTTACTAAAATGTTACAATAACTATTATGATTCTATTGGAAGACTAATATATATAAATATATATTTTATGGTTTAAAAGTTCGAAGATACGCAATTTTATTCTTGGCGCATTACGTTGAACTTTAATACAGCGAACGGCAGAGTTGTACCTCAGTTTATGAAATGTTTATGACGTCCACAGATGTCTGCCGTTCGTTGCGTAATAGTGTGACTCCTATTTTCGGCTCTTTAGTGGATAATCAGGTGTGATACGTGAATTAACTAATAGTTGTCTGTCACAGTGACATGCATTGGATA